AAGCCAAGAAGCTAGATGGACTTCCTGAAGATCGTGCCACTCGTGTCTATCCCAGCTCTTCTGATCACACCTTCTAACGCGATGTTGAATAGCAGACACGAAAGTCCTTCACCTTGCCGTAACCCCTTCGAGATTCAAAGGGACTCGAACAACGCACATCACTCGATCCATCGTCGCCTTGACCAATCGTGTCAGTTTATCCGGAAATCCGTACTCGTGCATAATCTGCCATTGCTGATCTCGATCGATTGTGTCGTATGCGGATTTGAAATCGATGAACAAATGATGTGTGAACCTTCCTAATCGCAAAAATTTGGTCCGTGGTAGCGCGATCATCCATGAATTCCGCCTGGTATTGCCCCACGAACTCTCTTGCAAATGGTGACAGGCGGCGGCATAGAATTTGGGAGAGTACCTTGTAGGCGGCGCTCAGCAGTGTGATCGCGCGGTAGTTGCAGCAATCCAACTGGTCGCCATTTTAGTAGATTAGGCATACGACACCTTCCATCCTCTTTTCCAGTAATATTTCCTCCTCCCAAATCTTGGCAATTACCCAGTGAAGCGCTCTAGCCAGTGCTTTAATAGCTCACTTGGTAGTTGATCTACACCAGTTGCTTTGTTGTTCTCCAGCCGACCGATCTCCTCCTCAAGTTCTGACGGGGCCGGTACCCGAGCAAAGTCGGTTAACAAAATGAAAGCAAATCGATATTAAAGTTTGCAGTTCCTATCATAATGAAAACTTATTTTGATTTCAATTGTCGAGACATAAGTCTGATATCATATTGTGCTTTCATTATACAGTCAAGCCTTTTTAAATGAAAGCAACTTAACTTGAAGTTCTGCTGTTAACGTCTTGTTTAAAAGTTAATTTAAGTTCATCTGTCGTTGAGCTAACGATTATTGTTTATTTGTTTTGTTTAACACGGTCATTCGAAACTTGCCCGGGGTGAGTTTAAGCTCAAGTCTTTCACCATGAGAAGCATGGATGCTAACCATTTACACCAGGCCCGTATTCAGTATCATTATGAATGCAAAATCAAATTGATTTTATTGAAAGCAGGATTAGTTTTCCGTTTGATTCAACAGTGTAAAATTCTGCTCTCATTTTTGCTGTGTTAACCGTTAAGTCAACCAAAATGAGATCAACTGGAGTATTCAAAATAAGTTACATCATAACAGCAAAATTTGATTTCAATTTGATCTCAAGCTTTGCTCGGGTAGCCTGTCGTCTTCTGCGCGTGCTTCCCGATCAAAGTCTGAGATCAAATTGAAATCTAAATTTGATGTTGTGATTTCGCTGATAATATTTACTCAGGTTGCTGTCGTTTTGATCGTTTTAACGGTTAAAATATCAAAATTGAGAGCAAAAAATCTTCCTGTGACATCACATTGAAAACTATTTCTGCTATCAGTGAGAGCAAACTGAAAACTCAATTTGATATCAATTTTTCCTGTTGATAACAAAACAAGTATTCACTTTGATGTTATGCTAGGGCAATGAAAACAAACCCGCAACAACATATTTTTGAAGAGCAAATGTACAGCAAAATGAAAACAAAATTTGGCATCAAATTTTTCATTTGCGAAACTGAAATCAAATTATGATTTCAGTTTGATGTTGATATCAAAACTTGATTTCAATTTGCTGTCATTTTGATGCTGGACTTTGCTCGGGTTGCCACCTCCATTTTCTGCTGCTTCACCGTTGAGGTGCTCGTCATAGTACTGCTTTCACCTCTCAATCACCTCACACTCGTTCGTGAGAAGGTTACCGTCCAAGTCCTTGCACATATCGGCTTGCGGCACGTGGCCTTTGCGCGAACTATTTAGCTGCTCGTACAACTTCCGTGTGTCGTTTACGCGGTACAGATTTTCCATCGCCTCGGACTATACTGGGGACTCCAAAATATATATCGGCTTGTTTAGGACCCCACATTTGAATTTTCACAATTTATTACATTCCAGGAAAAATACTTGAACCAACATTGAACCATAACCGAAACATTGAACTACTTGAAAAATTTAAGACAAAGTATAATAGTCAAAGTGCATGACATAGGAGAATTGACACTAATGTTGGCCTATGGATCTAACATTAGGCCCATCGCTAAAAATCTGCTATTTACCAACTTTATCTAGATGAACGCGTCATTGGGACGGTACTAATGGATATTTGTGGTCGCTATTGAAAATTGTGTCGATTGCTGAATTTATGAATGGGCCCAAATCAAGGACATTTAGGCCGACATTATATCCATTTCCCCTACAACAACTTGGCGTAGTTCTACGTCATACTGCGGTCGTGTCTAGGACATTTATTATTATTTTTTCCTTGATTTGTTTTCCGTCGATCTTGTTTTCCGTGCTGAGCACCAATGCTACCAACGCCACGGAGGCAGCTCCCATACCTGGACCCTACCTATCGACCCATGAACCGGGGACCAACGGCTTTACTTCGTGATCAGAGATGTTATGACTCAGAACATCGCGGCGGCGTCGACTGGGATTGAACCCAGGCCTGCTGGGGTGAGAGATAATCACGTTTACCATTACACCACCGGCGCCGCTAAGTATGATAGATGTATTTAAGAAGTAATCTTCAACGTTTTCGACAGAATGTGTCACATGTCTGTTTATCAGTATTCCGGATTTATACTACTGAGTATTTGCTGAAGTTCTGGTAACTTCTAAGAAGGCAAGGGTAATTCGAAAAAGTTAAGAGAACATGATTATAGTTAATAAAATTTAGGTAGCAGATCTTCAAGGACCATCATTAGACTGACCCACAAAATAAAAGTTTTATTGTTCCTAGGGCTTTTGATTTGTTCATTTAGGTGAAAAAACCATTTTCTGATTTTTTCAGCTCATTTGGTTGTAAGATGAGCCGGCGCTTTTGGTTTATGTTGTATGAGGAATTTGGATAAAATACATGATAAAATGATACCACTGCACTCTTTCGATTATAAAAAAGTTTCCAAATCCTAGATTTGGTTCAGATTTTCAAAAGTTGTAGTTCAAACAACGAGTAACAGCTTTGCTGAAGTCTGTATCATGAATCCAGTTAGTTTCATTGAGATATTCGCTTTTGAATGTATATGAGCATTTTTTATATGTAAGTTCCAGAGTGGTTTTCTCACCTAATGGCATAAATCTGCGGATTTAAATGATAAAAAAAATGTTCCCAAACAAACGTGGGCCAGTCTAACCATCATATCTTTAGGATTCTTCGTAGAACTTTAGAAAACCTTTCAGAAGTTCAGCGACTGCGTAGAAGCTCTGGATACTTTCTGGAAGTACACTAAATAAGATTTAGCTAACTTTGCTTTTCAGAAGTACAGAAAATGTTATAGAAAACCAAGACGACGGTGGGAAACGGATTCGTAACTCAAATGTCATTAGCCAAATACATCGACCATATAGGTCCACCGTTGTATAATTGGCTATGCACCCGTGTACTGAATGGGAATTGTGGATTCGAACCCTTAGATTTTTCACGCAAATTTTCTCACACACACGTCTCTTACCGATGATATGTGCTTACCTCTCAGTATGTTCAAACTTTCGTACACACAATTAAATTGACTGCAAGTCGCTAAGCCGTTAATCAAAAACCAATAAATTTTGTGAAATTTCAGATAAATTTGTAGAACTTCATCCAACTATGTATATATTTAGTGACATTGAAAGAAATTTCTTGAATTTTGTAGAATCTCGAGCAATTTCTTTGAAGTTCGAGGATTCTTCTTGAAGTCATTGAAAATCGTAAAACTTCAGGGACATCATCGATGTCTGCATAGTAGAAGTCAATAAAGTAGAATATAGTAAAACATTGAACTATGATGTGCAAAGCTTTTGATATCACCATGTGAAGCACATAACTAGACTCCAAGTCGAACCAATAGTGTTGAGGTATGGTTCAAAGATTCACACATTAAATGGATGTGTTACAAAATGAAGTGTGAGATACATGATGCTGATGTGTGGAATTTTTTAAGTGCCTCACCTGAAATAGATCCATTTCCTGAATTTCCCATCGTTTTTTTCGAAGGGACGAATCAGCTTTTGTAAACAATGCATTTGATCGTCGATTTGACTTAACTGGTAGTAATCAATATATAATTCTTTAGCTGGCTGTAGGTGGCATACATTTTCAGGCATTAGGCACGTATTGTTACTTGTTTATTTCTTTAGGAATGAGTTGATCTTTGAACTGCGTTGATGCAATTTTCCGGTGGCAGTGCACAACTATGCAAATTACTGTGTTTTGTTCAGCATGACATTGCTTTGCGATACTTAAGCGGTTTGTGCCTTCGTAATGATCAAAAGGCGGTAGCAATGACAGATGAAAACGAGTCTACTACTTGTGATGAATCGTTTGCAATGATTACCCCTATCAATCAAGTCGGAATGTCGCATGCAATCCAGCACAAACGCAATGCTTGTCAGATTTGAATTAAAAAAAACTCGATTCCAAGATTAGTGTAACTGACCAGGCAACAGTTTCATGTGCAGCAACTCGTATCTAGTGCTAATAACTGGAAATATCTGAGAATCCAGGGGGTTCAATTCCTGAATGCCGATTTATGTAGACTCGGCGATACCGTAGGCATTGTTTTCAAATCTCTTTACCTACTTCCACCATATTTATTGCGTTACTAATATAAGTCCAATTAAGATAATGCTAATCAGTCAAATCGGAACCCTTTGCTTAGATGGTACGTTGCTAGTCTTCCAACTCTAAACACTCTTCACACAAGCTTCATGATGATGATAATTCACAGATTTATTGGCACGAAAAACTGCTATCAATGCTCTTATCACAAGATGTAGCCGCAAAACAGTATCAAAACATTGATTCGTTCAAAATTAGTTTCATACTAAATTGGCATAATGTTATGAATATAACTACGGTGATCTGAGCTCGTTTATCTGAAAACGATCTAATGCTTCGCTTATCGAAAAAACACTTTTTAAAGTAATCACAAAATCCATCTATTCACCTTAATCCATTCAGGACCGGCAGCCTGCTCGGTGAAATTCTCAGCATTTTACGGTGTTTTTCAAGTGTACCACGTTCACAGCGAACTCCGTATCTTGATTTCAAAGTATAATTTAAGCGGTGAAATTATAGCAGTGCGACAAACGCAGAGTACAATGTTTATCACCGAATCGAGCCTATCTTCTAACGAAACCGATTTTGAATGGCAAATCCGAACCGTCAAAGTGCCAAACGACGACTGACCGAGCCGGTTGGCACCATGCGCAGCCGGCTCGTTAAAAAAGCGGTTATCGCAGTCATCATTATCAATGGTTTGTTTGTTTGTTTGTTCGTTGGTAAGTTCGTTCGTTCGTTGTTGTGTTTGTTCGTTTTTTTTTTCTGTTATAGGTGTTCACTGGGAGGCTCGCCATAGAATCGGCGTGTTCACATTAGCGCAGCGTTTCTCAATCAATATTGTGATTCAACCATTCCATAGCAAAACGATTAAGTGGCTCTCAGAATTTCGTAAAAATTGGTAGTTTTGTTCCTCATCGTAAAATATTAGACCCGTATTTTTGTTATTTTGTCATTCGGGTGGTCCAAAAAAATATTTTTTTTTCATTTTTTTTTCAAAATTTTATAACTTTTGAAACAATGGTTTCAAAGATAAGATCTACATATTAAATGAAAGGTAATTTAAAATACTTTTTAGGCAAAACATAACGATACTAAAAACCTGGGATTTTTGATTAAAAAACAGTTATCGCATTTGTTTTTTTATGGTTTTCATGGCATGCCGGTGGTGTAGTGGTAAGCGGGACTGCTTTCTCACATAATGGGTCTGGGTTCAATCCCAGCCGGTCGGTGGGATTTTTCTGAGGCATGAAAATCTCTGGTCACGTCTTCAGAAGGGAAATAAAGCCGTTGGTCCCGGCCCATGTGTGTTTGAATGGGTGCGATATCCTACACAGCTGTGGGAGCTGCTTTCCTGAACATTCAATTGCCGCCAATGGATGGCAATCGATGTCCGTCGGTGATTGGCTCTAGATTGCGGAACAGAGACCGATGTTAAATTAAAGAAAGAAGATGGCTTGAAAATAGAGAATGCAATATAATTTTATAGTTTTCATTAAAAAAATTTGTGTTCTTAAGCCACATTTAAAAAATCAGCGATGGGTTCTATTTTTTTCGTGTTTAAGTTGCATTTTTTCATCAAGTTTTGGGATTTCACTTAATATTCCTATGCGAATAGACTACTATGCGTCTTCATTGATTTAAAGCAAATGTAACATGGTTTCGACGCATGGTAGTATAGTTGCATATGAGTATTTAGTGAAAACCCATAACTGGATAACATAAATAAATATATAACTCAAAAATAAAAAATAAAACTTAGCTTATTTTTTTTTAATATTGCCTAAATTTTCAATAAAAAAATAAAAAACAAAACATCTACAAACCATGAAAACCATAAAAAGTAGAAGGGTCTGTGCCTATGGGCACGAATGGGAGCTTAACGTAGGACCGCTAGGGCACGGAACAAATGTGAAGAAAATTTAGTTCTTTTAATTGATCGATCATATATTATCCTAACTCTTTCCGTTTTTGATTTGTAGGCGTACCAAATTTGTACCTAGTATTTTTTTTCAAAAAGAAAATTGATGAAGAGAATCGATCAAAATCACTTGCACCCCTGCTTCCAAGTTTGGTTACAAGATTACAGCTGTGGAGAGCATTTTGTGTGGTCGTTGGGGGTATGTGGTTCTGAATATGGACCAACTGACAGATAAATTCTATTCTAACTTTTACTGTAATAAGCTTGTTGGCCCAGAAAAGGGCCGTTTTGTTGCCAATGTTGGTGATGATTTAACCTCCGAAACCGTACAGAGTTCGTCTGTCGCTTCAAAGCGTAGACGACATCGATGGCCGCTTACGCTTGGCGTGTTCAGTATAGGTGACAGCATCACGGATCACATTTTCCAAGAACACCTTCAGCACGCCTGGTAGATCAGACCGGAGACACGGTTGACACCACCACGGCAAGCCAAACGACTGTTTTTGCTGCTTATGCTGTCTGCTCACCACGGCGTCCGAAGCGAAAATGAGTTGAGGCAAGTAGTAGTATAATTTTTTTTTTTTTTTCCTTTGGTTTGTTTTCCGTCGATCTTGTTTTCCGTGCTGAGCACTAATGCTACCGACGCCAGGAAGGCAGCTTCCACACCTGGACCCTACCTATCGACCCATAAACTCATGAACCGGGGACCAACGTTTACAATTACTAATACAGGGCAAAAGGTTAGCCAGAAGGGCTCTTCATCTTTGGTGAACATTTTGATTTTGTGTTGTACATGTTGTGTTTTACTGTGTAATGTTTTTCAATTTTCTTCTTTTGAAGTATGTTGTTTTAATTTGTTATTCTACCTACATAACCTAACATAACCTAACGTGCCAGATCCCTGACGATCTGTTGGTCGGATCGTCTACAGCAATATCTGAACCTTGCAATGGAGGCAGCTCTCCGTAACTCCAGTGTCTGAAGACCAGCCACGAGGTGGACCTCAGAGTTTCTAGTCCGCGGTGGACTGTTGGGGATCATTCTCAGGATCTTGTTCTGGATCCTTTGAAGTTTAAGATGGTGGCTTTTTGCGCAACTCTCCCAGATTGGCATCCCGTATTCTATTACGGGAAGGATGATTTGTTTGTAGACAGCAAGCTTATTTTTCAGGGACAGGGTGGACCTCATGTTGATGAGTGGATACAACGATCTTGTCAAGATGTTGCATGACCTCTTTGGACAATTCCACCACTATTTTCAGACGGAACAAGTCTGGGAGATTTTGAGTGTGGAAAGATAATGACCTGGGTCTTTGCCGCGTTGATACGGATCTTCCAGCTGTTGAAATATTCAGACAGGACGTCCAGGCCTCTCTGAAGTTTGGCACTCAGAGCTCCGATGACCCTACCCTTGTAGACGATGAATGTGTCATCTGCGAACAGAGACAACGATCCACCATTAGGGAGAGCCGGCATATCGCAGATGAACAGGTTGAATATAATGGGGCCAAGGATGCTTCCTTGTGGAACCCCGGATCCGATGTTGAAAGCATCCGATGTGATGCCATTCAAAGAGACTCGGAACGTCCTGTCCCATAGATAGTTGTTAATTATCTTCACTAGAAATATTGGAAGACCGTACTGCTGCAATTTGAACACCAGGCCATCATGCCAGACATTGTCGAACGCTTTTTCAACGTCCAACAACGTCATGGCATATGCTTTCGAAACAGACTTGTTCCGTCTGAGAATGTTTGTCACTCGAGTCAGCTGGTGGATGGTCGAACGACCTTTCCAAAAACCAAACTGTTCCTCGAGTAAGATGTTGTTTTGTTCGGCAGATGTTAGGAGCCGGTGGTAGACTGCTCTTTCGAACAGTTTTGATAACCCTGAGAAGGCTGATTGGTCGATAGCTTGAAGTAGAGGACGGATTCTTCCCATGTTTCCGGATGGGTATGACTTTAGCTGACTTCCAACACGAGGGGAAGTAGCCAAGTCTGAGGCACTGATTAAAAATCAGTGCCAGATGGTTGTAGAATCTGGAACTCAAGTGTTTGAGTTCCAGATTCAGGATGTTGTCGAAACCTGGGGCCTTCATGTAATCTCGGATTCCTCTGGAAAAATGTTAGGAGTCTGAAGAAGATTGGTTGCATTTTCAGCAACCTGAGATTCATGAGGGCTGACGATGTTTTGTCCGAGATTATGGGAGCTGACGAAGTGTTGACCTATCGTGGCAGCCTTCTCTTCAGGAGTTATCAGATGAACCACTGGGTCGCCAGGACGATCCAGTGGGGTCAGTGGGGGAATGGGCCTAGGCTTCTTTTTAAGAATTTTTGTAAGTTTCCAGAAGGACTCTGCACAATCTGGGAGAGAGCGGATCTTACTAGCAAAATCGTTATTTCTGAGATCCACCATCATGGCCTGAATAATCTTTGTTAATCGATTACAATTACGCTGGTACTGCCTACGAATGGTGTTACGGAGTCTGATGAGATCTTTGGCAGGGCTGTCAAAGTTCAGAGTGTTACTCACCTGTCTGGATACTGGCACGTGTTGTTCCCTGGCCCGGGAAATCGCCTCCTCGATGGTTTGTAGACACCGGTCAACATCTTCCGACGTCCCCGGTTGGACATCGTAGTCCATGGTTGTGTCGACGCAGTGTTGATTTTGCGCCCAGTTGACTCGATGGTAGTTGCGCCGGGAAGCTTCGAATCGGTTTACCGAGGATCCAACTTCGGCCACCACCGGGTAGTGGTCCGAGCTCAGCTCCTGGAATGCCACAGGTTGCGAGACGTTGTGTCCCATGTTGCTTACGAAGATGTCGATGGTCGCATGGACCCCAGACCGACTCAACCGGGTGGGAGAGTCCGGGGCCAAGATGGTATAGTGGCCCTCTTGCAGGTCTTCATTGAGGATGATGCCGTTTCTATTGCTCCGACCGTTGCCCCAAGCTTGGTGTTTTGCGTTCAGATCGCCAGCGATGATAAAGTTCCCGCTCCTCCGGGTGAGTTTGATGATGTCTCTGCAGAGGGCCACTGACGACCCTTCCCTGATGTTGGTTTGCTTGGGGCAGTAGGCCGCAATGATGGTGATTGGGCCAAGTGATGTGCTCACCTCCACTCCGATGGCTTCAATTGTTTTCAGCTGGAAGTTTGGTAGCAGCCGGCAACTGATGTTCCGTCTTGCAGTGATGGCCACTCCTCCACCTCCAGAGCAGGTGCGATCAAGTCTGACGAGCCGGAAGTCGGGAAGGAATACGTTCAGTTCGGGCTTCAGATGCGTCTCGGTGATGATAGCAATGTTGACCTCCTTGGTGTTGAGGAAATCGAGTAGCTCTCTATGCTTGTTCGTCAGTGAGCAAGCGTTCCAATTTGCATTTTTTTTAGCTTCACGGTCCATACTTGGTGACGAGTGACAAGGCAGCATGAAGCTGTTCAGATCGTGTCTTGCAGGTGCGCAGAATGACGATCACCTCTGCAACCAGCGTTACTAGTTCCTCTGATGTTAACGGAGATTCGTCAACTGAGTCACCTGAGGCAACACGCGCATACGATAGTC